AAGGGGGTCTGTAGCTCTGTCCACCGTTTTAGGGAACATGTTTTGTTTTAAAGTAAGTTACAGCTAGGACTTTTCCCTTCTTTTCTGGAGGGCTTTATTTCACTAAAAACGATCTAATATGGATATCCACATAATTCCATATTAGATTCGTCATGAATGTGAGTTGTTGTTATTCAGCCTGTTGTATCTTTTTTAACTTTGAGCACCCGCCCCTTTAAACGTCTCTGCACGGCCCTGGTCAACATTCATGCGACATAAATTGCAGTAACACAAATAACGTAACAATTGACATTTTCTTAATTAAGTTTTCTTTTATTACAAACCCTGTCTAGATTCTTTTAAAAGGTTTCTCCACTTACTGTAAGTTTCCTTCACAACCATCTTCTATAATGTTGTATGATATTGACCACAGACTCTCCCTGTCTATATAAACCAAAAAAACGTGTTTGCACACGATGCCGTTTCCAGTTAAATTTACTTTTACATAAAATTCTGTAAATGCTTCACTAGAGAGCACGATATTAAGTTTTGTAAGAGACACTTAGACTTACCTCTATTTTCCTAATGAATTTCACAGTCACCATCTGCACTCCTTTGTGACTTTACTCCTCATTTCTGTTGGAAAATGTTTGAATCTAAAGTAACTACGTAACTTTAAGTATAAAATCGGAAATAGTATGTTTTTTTACTTACAGTATATTAGTTTTAAGAATTTTTAAATCCCTATGATTCATAACATTCATTATATTAAACAGCATTCTTTAGCATTTTGCCCGTAACTCCGATTACCGTGATCCTGTGTTATTCTGTGTCCGGCAGCCCGTCCGGGAGGAATCCCAGCCGTGTGCTCTGGGATAACTGTTGGCTGGATAGACTGCGATGCAAATTTTTATTTCTGTAAATAAACTACAGACCGCATATGAGGGTACGGCTGGACTGAAGAATGAGCCAAAGAGTGAGCCGTATAAATACTGGAACGTTGTACTTTCAGTTTCACTTTCCTAGTTTCATTTTGACAGAATAGGCATTCAGCCATATTTCAGCCGGGGCGCCACCCTCATGAGTGAGATACAAACTGGATCCAGACAAGTCATGTGTCTCATACGCTGACCAGTGGTGTGCAAAACATATTGAGCAACACCTTTCCCTGTCCCCAGAAAGCCCCTCAAAAGCCAGAAAAACCTGGTAAGCGTCCTTGAATAGGGTAAGCACCCCAGAACAAGGGTATTTTCGAGTAAGATAAGGATACTCTGAAACCAGTGATTTGTGAAAAACAAGTTATATAAGTGATCAGTAAGAGAGAAAAAAACATGCTTATGCAGTTTAACCTTAATACAATAATATTATACAGGTAGGTGAATCATGGACGACATATTTAAATCTCAGGATGATTAGTCCACACACGATCAGAATCAATCCACACCTCAATCACCTCATATGTATGTCTGCTAGGTGGAGTTGGAGGTACTCCACCAAACTGTGAATAGTGGTGTCGAACAATTACAACTTCCTAAATCATTACAGTGACAGGGGGACACCCAACACATTGCTTTAATTCTATAATACGTGGGCGATGTGGCCAGTTACGGGGCCACCTGGGGGGTCGTCTTAATCCAACCTGCCTTTGTTAGATCACTCGTGTTGTCTTTTGTTTTTTGGTTTCTTTTGAGTTCTGTTTAAAATAATGTTTCCTGTGATTTGTGACCTGCTACTTGGATCGTCCCTCCATCATGCTCTGCTATAAAATGAGTGGTCCCGGGATGACCTCTTAGTGAGGCAAAGAGGAACACAAAGTGGCCATTAGTGTCTGCAGATAGAAGGCAGACATTGCTCTCATTTACAGAGGGTTAGCAGCTGTATGTCAATGGAAGTCACCAACACAGACAGCCTGGAATGATGGAGGGGAATGGATACCCTTGCAGATTTGGGGGCCTACTATTTGACAGGGGTCCTTGAATATGTAAAATTATAGACCTATATGAAATTGTGTGGAGGGGGCAAGGTGACATTTTGTCAGGGGGGGCAGAGTTTCTAGGTACACCCCTGCAGACAACATGACATGAACACAGCAGACGTGCAGCGATCAAGAAGGTGGTCCATCATGGTGAAATTACTGTCTGATGCAAGTAATTGCTGGTGTTCTCTGTTCAGTGACAGTCTTTAGGAGTCATGGACAACAGTCTTAATTTTGTTAACAAAAAATCTTCATAAGTTTATTTTCAGAAAAAAATGAGATGATAACTAAATAAAAATGATTTTGCGAGGCCTAAGACTATGATGAAGTGTATCGACACTTTCGTCAACGAATAAAAGCGAGACGAAAATGTTTGCCACAGACGAGATACAGTCAGAACGAATGTAGCTCACGTAAGACAGGGCTATTCAACTAAAATTTAAAGAGGTCCAGTTAGAGAAAATTTCTAGAAGCAGAGGTCCGGAAGATCATAATGTCTAACTATTTAGTGTGATATTTTTAAGTAGCCTATTAGTTGTATCAACATTGTATGTAATCAATTCCTTGTCACGTCCAGCTCCGTCCGATCCTGGTGTGTGCCACGCCCACCTCGTTACCTCCTGTTTCTGCCTGATTGTGATCACCTGTGTCCTGTTATTTCTGGCTAGTCTTGTGTATTTAGTCCTCGTCTGAGTCAGTCTTCCCCAGACTTGTCATTAATGTTTGCTGTCGTGCTTCCCCGGTCCTGTTGTGCTAATAAATCCCCGTTTTACCCGACTTCCTGGCTCCTCTCCCCTGCTTGCCGGTTTGCCAGTGCCCGATCGTGACATTCCTGACTGTAAAATCTAATTATTTCAGTACAATTCAAAAACTTTTTGACAATATGTAATGTCACGTGGCATAGAACTGAACATATAGTGTATGTATGACTGCCGATATGTATCATGTTTTCTCATTTACTAAATGAAAGTAGGGCTGCATTTCAAAATAAGAGAAAATAAATAAAATTTGAAAAATGTGCATGTTTAAATAAAGTGCTTAACTTATGCCGTAAAACCCTAATATAGTTGTGTTTACATAGCGCTGGATTAGTATGTACCGGCTAGGGGTGGAGCCGAACCCGAATACGGTATTCGGAAAGGCACAAATAATGTGTTTTTTACGAATACTTATTTCG